GAGGGGGTGAGGCAGAGGGAGAGGAACAAGCAGACTCCCCTCTGAGCAGGGAGCCCGACATGTGGCTATTATGGCTCAGGACCCTGAGATCATGACCTGAGCCGAAGGAAAAACCCCTTAACCGACAGAACCACCCAGGCGCCCCTGTATATATAATATTTAATTTCTTCATAAACTTTAAGGAAGCGACCCAACCCACATATTAATATCAAAGAATCATAAAAATTCCTAAGAAAATTGTTATGTCTAGTTAAATTGTTTTAGATATGTAGTATTGAACACTTATCCCAGTTATTTTTCATAATAGCTTTTTTGGGATGCAATCACATACCATGCAGTTCGTCTATTTAGACCTTACATTAGTAATCAAGCATTCTCAATTGAAATATGTTATTGGTCAGCTGGAAGCAGATGATAGTTATTGAAATGGTTTAACTTAAGTTCCTATGTCGGCTTAAAACTTTTCCTTCATAGGGATCCATTGGTTCCTTCCAAAACTTTTTTTTGAGAATTAAAGTGTAAAAAGGGAACTGTTACTAGTTTTTTTTATTGTGGTAAAATACACATGATGTAATATTTAGCGTTTGACCATTAAAAATATACAATTCAGAGGCATTACATATTTTTACAAGGTTGTACAACCATCAAGACTATCTCCTTCTACAACTTTTTCATCATCCCAAACAGAAACTCTGTATGTACCTATTAAATGGTAATTTTTCATCCCCCTCTTCTCCCAGTCCCTGGTAACCTTTATCATGCCTTTTTTCTCTGCAAATTTGCTTTTTTCCAGATATGTCATATAAGTAGAAGTATACAATATTTGTCCTTTTGTGTCTGACTTATTGCATTGGGTATTCTTTTGGGTCATATCATTTGAAATTAGAAGAGAGAGTGGCTAAACACCTGTGCCTTAACCCTGTCTTGCCCTATCTCCTCTCTTAGGGAAGAAAGAAAGACATGCAACCACTAAAGAAGGCAATATGAGTTCAGAGTTACACGTGCCATGCAAAGAAACCATGTTTCATCCTATTGCTCCTATCTACTTGGGAAAAGTAGACTGTTCTTTGAATCTTTAGCTCAGATGTTACCTTCTTGTGAAGATTTCCACAACCAATATTTGTCACACCTTCTTTTCCAGTCCTAGAACACTTTGAAAATATTATGTTTGATATTGTTTGCATATATATCTTCCCTCACTAGACTGTAAGCAGTGCAATGGGTTAGGTCATGTGTTTTGCAGATCTTTAAGTTCACAATATTTGCATTACTGCTGAAAATACTGCTCAGCCTCCTTCCCTTCAGGAAACACACCCTTGTCCATCAGAAGCCAGCTCTGCCTTTTGTGGATTTTTCTTGGGCAAAAGAATAAATCCATGATAAAATTTTGCATGTAAAACCAAAATTTAAAAAAATACAGTTTTTTGACTTCATAATCATTAGTGTTATCATTTGTCTTAAACTTTTAATTGTGAAGTAATATGTATATGGGAAAATATATCATGATTTTATTAAATAAAGTATTAATTAACTTCATGTTAAAAATTAGATCTTCAATTAGGAGTAGAAGCAATCTGGTAATTGGAAGCTTAATATCACTGAGTCTAGCAGGATAAATAATAATTACTTATATTTGGAGAATTTATGTTATGACTATATTGAGTTATTTAATTATGGCCAAACTTATCCATGGCTGTATAATGTTTTGGTTCTGCTATTTGAAACACTTTAATTGACTACATTATGTAGGATAAGGCACCCAAGAATGTGTTTACAAGACGTCAGAAACAGTGACACTGTTGATATAGATAGGGATGTGCTGACATTAAATAAAACAATCAACTCAAATTCTGAGCCACAGTAGTATTGAAAACCAGTATGCCAGGCTTTTAGGTGTAAGAAGCTAAGGTAAAATTAAAAAACAGTAAAGAGTCACATCAGTGCTGTACAATAATGGATGAGAGAAAATAATGTAAGTCACTGATGCATTCCTTTCTTCTCCTGTTTAGGGTTGCTGGAGAAAGATAACTATTGATGACTTTCTGCCTTTTGATGAAGACAACAATCTTTTGCTTCCAGCCACAACCTATGAATTTGAACTCTGGCCAATGCTTCTGTGTAAAGCTATCATTAAACTGGCAAATATTGAGTATGTAGAAGGAAGAATGATCACTCACTTACATAAAAACAAAAAGACAAACGACAAACAGCTATACATCTATGACAAGATATATCGCAAGATATATTGCATATCTTTAATTTTTAAAATCAATTTAAAGGAGTTTTCTTTCCAAACAATGTAAATGTTCTGATATAAAAATGAATATGCCAAAACCACTAATTTGAAATATTGGGTTAGCCAGCAATAAGACAATATTCTCCCAAGAGAAAATACTCAAAAATTATTCTATATCCAATGCTTTCTTAGGATGAATGGCAAGTAATCATGAAAAGTAATGTTTCAGCTTAGTGTGAGAAAGAAGTTATTTTGTAGGGGGAAATATTGGTTCATCTAAATGCCAAATAATATATCCTGGAATCCACTTCAAGTTTTAGTTCTGTATATGCAGCAATAATTTACTAATCTTGAAAACCTGAACTCTTCCGAGGGATGTCAATATGTTCCTCATATTTTTGGTAACATTGGTCCCTTTTAATACATTCGTGATGAAAACTACTCATATTTGCTTCAATACTCTTGTGAAATCTGCTTGCGTCTTCCATTCCTGCATGTCTTGTGCATCAACGTATATGAGACGTGTCTGCCATGTTCATTCTCTTGGCTTCCACCTATGGAGACCCTAGGTCAATCCATCCCCACCCTAGCCATGCAAAAATAGTTTAGATTCTTAAGTTGCAAAGGCGTGGCAACTTCGTATCATTGCTCAGTGGGAGAATTCTCACATACACTGCACTGGCTTGAATTTGATACCCTTCACCTTCCTGCAGGGTGTGACAGCGCCTCATTCTCAATGGAAAATCCACATGCTCTAACAGAGACCACTTTAGCCCTTCTCTCAAAGCTCAGCCTCCTTCCCTTCAGGAAACACACCCTTGTCCATCAGAAGCCAGCTCTGCTTTTTGTGGATTTTCTTTTGTCTCCCCTTCTTTTTTTTTTCCAAGGCTACACAACAAAACCAGCTACTCCTACCACCATCCTTGTCATCTCTCTTTTCTCTCACCAACCCTCAATTTTCTGTTTGGAATTTGTTTCACCCAGCTCACAACTCTTAATTTCAATGATTTTTTTAAAAGAACTTAGCTCAGATCTTTTTAGGTAGCTAAATAGTACTAAGTATTTATACTGGTGACAGCTATGTTTGTTTTGAAAGAAAATAACATTCCTCTTGTTCCTAATTCTCAGACCTAACTTGAAGTTCTGAGAATTAGAGCTGAATTAATATCAGTGAAGTGTTAAACCTGTGACCTGGAAAATTGGAGTGGCATTTTGTCTTTCTTAAAGCTACAGTTCTGTAGAATTTTATAGCAACCTAAGAAATAAGATTATTGTTATTTTAAAAAATAGATAAATCTAGCATGGAAATAAAGGACTAGACTAAATGTAAGACATTTCTGAGGCTTTCTAGTGTACACCTAAACTGTGTGGTACAATTTATGTTTGTCTATACATTTTTTTTCTCAGGTTTTATAGTATATAGCAATTATTTTCATATGAGTTTTAGCTTTCTACATTAAAAATTAATATGTAGTAATTATGTCAATATCATTGTGAGCTATGCAAAGGACAGAACATTATCTTTATGAAGTTTGCACAGTTGCTTCCTAAATAAGATTATCCACAGAGGAGTTTAGACTAGACTGTGAACTACTCCAAGAGATTTTTGTTATCTGTGACATATGTAGACACATCAAAATTCATAATCTATAAACAAGAAACCAATGCAAGTTTATAAATGATAGAGCATGTGACTAAGATTGTAAGATTTCTTTCTGAAAAAGGACACATATGGTCAATACCATCAATTACCCTTGTTGGCACATGGTGGACTGAAGTTGTGACCCCTGGCCGCAATAGGGGTACGACATTTATGTGTGTTAATGTAAACAGACTAATCACTTCAGAAAACAAAAGGACTAAAATGGGAAGAGTGATATTTGGTCATTCACAGTCTCATTTGACTTTATGCTATGGTGGCAGATCTGCTCTTTTGTATAGGATAAAAGATGTTTCTAGTCTCTCTGAAATTATCTAAGGATTTAATTGGGGTTATCTGATGCCCATCTTGACCTGCCATGTATGAGACTGATTTAATACACAGTCTCGTAGGCATCTTAGGATAATAACTGAAACCAGAAAGATAAAAGACACTTCTGTTTTTTAAAGAACATGTTAGTATATTGAATATATAAAATATATAGCACCTAAATTTACATATTTTATATATGTGCATATGTTTTGTGTATATGACATGAATATTAATTTATATCTTTTTAAAATAAGGCTTATAGCATGTTTTTAAAATAAACATGAAATTTTATCTTTGGATCTCTTTAAGCTCTTTAACAAAACGAATCATCTGGCTGTTGGAATAGTATTTTCTTGTATTCTAATATATAACCACTATGACTCCTACATTTTTTATTGTGGTATCACTGTTTATTAAAGATTCCTAGTCTTTATATACCTGTCTGTTTTCAAATGTTACTAACTATACTATTGTGCATTTGCCTTTTTAGCATTCATATAGCGGAGAGGAGAGACCTAGGGGAGTTCACTGTTTTCCATGCACTTACGGGATGGCTACCAGAAGTGATCTCTCTCCAGTAGGTTTTACCATTAAGTTCTTCATATATTTTTTTCTTTCTTCCCCAGTAATATTTCTTAAACTAAAACATTCTTAATCTTCAAGAAAATTTCAAGAAAGGACACATTTTACAAAATGTTTGTGAAAATACTATTTTATAGATTCTATAAAATTCCTTGAGAATTTCAGGATAAATTCTGTTTCCTTAAAAAGACTGTGAATTTAATCTTTAAATATCTGGATGACAAATAGGAAAGCAATGTTAATTCTTCATTATGGTGAAATATTTGCATGTGTCCCTTTATACCTATACAGGTACTATACTTATTCAGTACAGAAACATAAAGGTGACTTTTAATTAACCACACATATTAGAAAATAATTAATAATAATGAAACACCTATTAGGCACTAGGCACTTTAATATATTATTTCTAATTAAAAACCACAGTCCTGAAAATATTATTTAATCGTTCATATGGCCTTACCAGCTGGGTATATGTCATTACAAATGAGGAAACTGAAGCCCAGAGTGGTTTGTTTTTTACAAGAAGATCAAATCCATAGCACAGTTACCAATTTGGATCATGTCCAATCTTTGAATCATTTTGGGAATCTGCCATTCTCAAAGGGTCCAGGTTAGAGGAGATTGAATTCAGCCCCCAGTAACTTGGATTCTACCATCTGAAGCATCTTTTCAGCAGGATAAACTAGCTGTTGCTTGGTTCAAATAAAAAGAAGCTTTTCAGTTTGATATAGCCCTACTTTTTATTCTTGCATTTGTTGCCCTTGCTTTTGGAGTCAAATCCAAAACAAACAAATAAACAAACAAACAAACAAACAAAAAAAACAGTATGAGACCAACATCAAAAAGCCTATATTTTCTGTAGGAGTTTTATGGTAAAACCATATGAAACCATGCATTCAAGTCTTTAATCCATTATGAACTGATTTTTATGTATAGTGTATGATAACGGTCTGGTTTCATCCTTTTGCATGTGGCTGTCCAGTTCTTGCAACACCGTTTCTTGAGGAGGCTATCTTTTCCACATTGTGTATCCTTGACTCCATTGTCATAAGTTAATTGACTATATATGGGTGGGTTTATTTCTTAGTTCTCTATTGTGTTCCATCGATCGAAGTGTCTGTATGTCAATAGCATACTGTTTGATCATTATAGATTTGTGACATAGTTTGAAATCAAGAAGTGTGATGCCTCCAGCTTTGTTCTTTCTCACAATAGTTTTGGCTATAAGAGTTTTTTCGTGGCTCAATACAAATTTTATGATTGTTTTTCCTATTTCTGTGAAAAATGTCATTAGAATTTTGATAGGGATTGCATTGAATCTGTAGATGACTTTGGGTAGTATGGACATTTTTACAATATTGATTCTTCCAGTCAATGAGCACAGAATGTCTTTCCGTTTATTTGTGTCATCTTCAACTTCTTTTTATTAATGTCCTATAGTTTTCATTGTACATGTCTTTCACCTCCTTGGTTAAATTTATTCCTAGGTATTTTATTCCTTTTGAGGCGATTGTAAATGGGATTGTTTGTGTTTCTGATGATTCATTTAGTGTATAGAATGCAACAGATTTTTGTATATTGATTTTGTATCCTGCAACCTGACTGAAGTCATTTATTGGCTTAATAGTTTCTGGTGGCATCTTTTGGGTTTTCTACATATATTATGTCTTCTGCAAATAGTGACAATTTTACTTCTTCCTATCTAATTTGGATGCCTTTTATTTCTCTTTCTTGCCTACTTGCTTTGGTTAAGACCTGTAATAATACTGAATGAAAATGGTGAGAGTTGGCATCCTTGTTTTGTTCCTGATCTTGAGGAAAATATTTTAGATTTTCACAGTTGATTGAGTATGACATTAGCTGTGCGCTTGTCATATTTGGCCATTATTATGTTGCAGTAGGTATTTTCTCTCAATAACCACTTTGTTGAGAGTTTTTATCATAAATGGATGTTGAATTTTGTCAAATATTTTTCTCCATCTATTGAGATGACCTTATGATTTTTATCATTCATTTTGTTAATGTGGTGTATCACATAGATTTGCAAATGTTGAATCATACTTACTTACATCCCTGGAATTAATCCCACTTGTTCATGGTATATTTCCTTTTAATATATGTTGAATTCTATTTGCTAATATTTTGTTGAGGGTTTTTGCCTCTATGTTTATCAGAGATTTGGGTCAGTAATTTCCTTTACTTGTGGTGTCCTTGTCTGGTTTTGGTATCAAAGTAATGATGGCCTTATAAAATGAGTTAGAATGTGTTCCTTCTGTATTTTTCCAAAGAGTTTGAGAAGGATTGGTATTAATTATTCTTTAAATGTTTGGTAGAATTCACCAGTGAAGCCTGGAGTTTTGTTTGTTGGGATTGTTTTGATTGCTGATTCAATATCTTTGCTAGTAATTGGTCTGTTAAGATTTTCTATTTCTTTATGATTTGGAAATTAATGTTGATGTGTTTTATCTAAGCCCAGGATATATGGACAAAGTATGGGAGCTCTTGAAAGAAATATTGCCTGAATTTAAGCTGTCGGTTGAGTCCAGTTCTGAAAGCAAAATAGCTGTGTTAGATGCCAAATTAAAAGAACCAGGGAAAGAAGTGAAGGATGGCAAGGAAGTAAAGGATGGCAAAGAATTCAAACCTGATAGTTCAGTGACAGCACTAAAGATACCTGAGAAAAGTGACAAGGCTCCAAAGGGTAAGACATTTTATATTATAATGTCATTCGTATGTTCAATATGGATATTGCATATAAATGTTCTATAGTCGTTGCTGAATTTAATGATTATTTATTGTCATTATCATCTACTAAGTGTTGTGAAAATAATTAAGATCCTATCTTTCTAGGATTTTAGAACTAGTAATATAGTTTACTAGATGTTAGTTATTATCCCATATTTTGCTGTCTTTTAAAACCAAGGGCAACTGTATATTTTGATGATACTGAAGTAGTATAGTGTTAACATAGGAAGAGACATCAAGTGTCAATTTCCATTACACACACTTCCTTATATGTTATATGTAGAGTGGAATGGAGCAAAACTGCAAAGGGAAAGTTGTTCTAGTCTGTCTTTTTATTTCCCCACCAAGGAAATGCAAAATAGACACAGTATGGATTGTGATTTGCTGACCATTTATTGTAAGGTAGAAGTTCAAATTTCAAAGTAAAATAATTTCAAGCTATTTTACACTGTAGGATCTTAAAGGGAGAAATATATTGAATAATTATTTTATATTTTCTAAAATATTTCATATAGCTATGCATATGAATAATAATGCTTCTATAGTAAAGTAAAATTAAATATACTAGAATATACTCAGCTTTTTTATATACCTCAAGAGCTTTTATAATGATCTTTCAAATATTTGTTTTATAAAATCTTATATTTTGCCCAAATTGTTCCTTATCAAGATCTTATTTACCAGCATTTACCACGCAGAAATTATTACTATAAATGTTTCTCAAGAATTTACCAAGATCAAGTGTATGAGTGATATCTGCCTATCATAAGCCCTTCTTTAAATGACCTAATGTGAATTAGTTTATGAAAGAAAGCAGAACAAGAGGCTGATTAAATTTGTTTTACCTAGCATATCTCAAATTAATTTGAACTTAGAAGGCTTTTTTCATGTATCACAAATTAACATATGTTCATCCATCCATTCAGATACACTATTTGCTGAGTAGAATACCAATACATTTTCCAGGAATTAATGATCATCCGGTGAACAAAATCCAATGTGAAGCTTATCTCCTAGTGCTTATGATCTAGGGAGAGAGACTAACATTAATTTTAATTTTAAAAACCATAACCATATACTAAGACATGAGCCTTGGAAGAAAATACGGAAAACTATGGGAGTTCATATTTAGTCTAGGACATTAGGGAAGAATTCTCTAATTATGATGCAGTAGGAGGAATGAGAAAACTAGCCTCATTCTAAAATGAGAAAATTAGCCTAAAATTATATATAATATATAAAATTATATATTAATATATATAATGTAAGTTATATTAAATGATCATCTCTATTTAGCAAAAAAATATATGTAGTCAATAATCATGTCTTTGGCAGTACATTGTCAATTTTCAAAGTTTTCTCTTACTTTATTTTGATGTTATGTTTCTAATTAGAGGTGAGTAGTGTTTTGGGAAATTTGCGGCTATTGTTTTACATTTAAATAACACTATTGTTTTGGCCTTCTTTTCAACATAATAACTGAATAAGTAATATAGTTTGAGGTTTTGTAGTTAAAAGATTTATCATATCTATTTTTTAACATGTTAGAAAAAGCAGATGCAAAAGATGTTGGGAAGAAGAGGAGTAAAAATGGAGAAAAAGAAAAGGAAAAAGAAAAATTCAAATGGTCACTTCATGCTTCAAGACCATCATCAGATGTACAGTATTCTCTGCAGTCTCTGTCAGATTGTAAGCTTTCAGTATTCTAGAGTAATAGCTATTGTAACTGCTTCCTAAAATGTTAGGAAACTTGGGAGTTTACAAAGTTGGAATATCACTTTGGAATACAAAGTGTATTGCCTGTTTAGACATTATCTGAATAAACGTGCTCAAGTTTGCCCATAATTGTTAAACTCTCAAATCAGTATGCATATGGGGGCAGTCTTACATGTGAGACAGAAGCCAAGGTCGTCCAAGTTTTTATGGTACAACAGCCACAGAAGTGTTTGCATGGAGGAGGACATATACTAATTAAGTGTATATGCTATGTATTAGCACATAACAAATAATCTATTATATATTGTTATACTGAGTATATTATAATACATAAAATACAA